TGCCTCCTTTTTACTGTCACAGTTAATTAAAAAGAAAATAGTGTCGGGTGCAATTCAGTACTGGACGTTACATTGCATGTACAAAATACTGTGTTCAATTCCCAGCACACAGAAAAAAATATACTAAATAACAGTAATGGTTCAGGTGTATATATGGAGGTTGGGAGGGACTGCAGAAAAGTTGACACAGCAAGATAGCAACCTACACATTAATACAAGAAGCCTAGAAGAGAGTTTTAAGTTCTAGTCTTCCAGTTCTTCTGTAAGTTTTACATTATCTTAAAATAATACACAAATCACCTGAAAAAGAGAAGACCAAACTTCATGAAAACCATACCTATTTGCCCCTGGGGCACACATGTGTACATTCAGACGCATACATACAAGTAGCATACATGCTCCCCCACACATGCAAACACACAGTGGGGCCTCACTTCAGCCCAGAGAGTCATCCAGTCTTGCCACTAATTTTTGACTAAAGAAACACAGGCCCAGAGTATGAATCCCCACTATATTTATTTTTCTGTTTTGTTTTTGGTAGTCCTGAGAATTGAACCCAGGGCTTCATACATGCTAGGCAAGAGCTCTACCACTGAGCAACACCCCCGCTGAATGCCCATTCTAATAGCAAAGAAATGGCAGAGCCAATGGTCTAACTTGGGCCAAATATATCCACCAAATACTACCGGACCATGCCACTGTAAGAAAAGTTTGTTTGTAATGTGTGGATACATATATGTGCACTCTGATACATCAACACAAAGTGAACAAATGTGTTTCTGAAAAGCCAGATATTTAGTCCAATATTATTCTCCCTTCAGATTTGGAAAGTACATAAAGTACAAGGAACAGCAAGGGGAAAAAAATATATAATCTGTTATTACAAAGAGAAAAGGAGAATCAAAAGATAATTACTAAAGAAATTACAGCAGTCAGTTTAAAAAGCAAACAAGAAACTTCTGTGACTTCCGGACAAATATTTCAAAAGTTTAACATGCTGGCACAAGACTGTAATCCCAGCTAGTTAGGAAGCTAAGGCAATGAATCTATCTAGGAAATAGAAAGAACTCATAAAACTTAATAAGCTAACAATAACAATAAAACTGGGTAAGAAATGTGAACTCACATTTCACTTGGGGCTGGGGAGATGATGGCTGGGGTGAATAAGAAAGGTACTACCAGGTAAGTGCTAGGTAGAAGTGGGGGGCCGCCTCTAGTCCAGGAGCTAAAGAGGCATGCACAGGTGATCCCCAGAGGAAACTGGCTAGCCAGACTAGCTAGCTGTATATGCAATTTCTGGCCTCAGCTAAGAAACCTAACCTCGATCAAAAGGTGGAGATTTTATAAAGGAAGACTCCCCACATCTACCTCGGGCCTCTACACACATGCACATCCACACACATGCTTCATTACCATACATGGCCACATATGAATGCAAACACACCCATATACACTTACCACACGTGCTTGCACACACACACACTCACACACACACACACACACAAAAGGATACACACATGTTCATTAAGTATATAAGAAGATATTCAATTTTATTGGTCAACAGGGAACTACAAATCAAGACCACAATGAACAACTGCCTCCTGTTCACCATGAAGGCTACAGTGAAAAGACAAACTAGCAAGCTATGACAAGAACTTGAAGACATTCTCAGCCTCAAACTCTCTGGTGACAAATATAGGGTAGAGCAGCCGGTATAGAAAAATACTAAGCATAGTCTTACAATGTGACTAGCGATTCTACTACTAGGCCTCTACCCATAAGCCAAATAAAATCCTGTCCGTACAGCAACTGAAGTTCAACTGCTCATGGAATCATTCTTTCTGACTGCCAAAAAGAATCAAATTGTTCACCAAACATCGAATGTCCCTGACACAAATTACAGTCACCTGGGAAGAGGGAACCTAAATTGAGGAATTGCCCCATCAGATTGGGGACATTTTCTTGGTTGATTAATTATTGAGATATGGGAGGGTCCAGCCTACCATGAGTGGTGCCACCCTTGGGCAACATGGTCCTGGACAGAATCGGAAAGGCAACTGTACAAGCCATGAGGAGCAAACCAGTAAGCAGTGTTCCCCCATTGCCTCTGCTTCACTTCCTGCCTTGAGTTCTTGCCTTGGTTTTCCTCAATGAGGAATTATCACAAGACAGTGTAAGACAAGAAAAACCCTTTCCTCCCCAAGTTGCTTTTGTTTATGCTGTTTTATCACAGCAACAGAAAGCAAACTAGCAAATACATACATACATACATACATACATACATACATACACACATATATATAACATACATAAAATGTACTGTGTCCAGATATAGGAATACCATCGACTCAGTAATGAGAAGTACTGGTAAGTACTACAAGATGTATAAACCTCAACATGTATGAACATGCATGCTGGGTGAAAGCAGCCTAACACAAAGGTCACACATCATATGATTCTATTTATATGAGAACATTCTAGGGCTAGAGATGGCTCATTCAGCAACATGCTTGCCACATAAGCAAAAGGACCTGAGTTTGGAGCTCTGGTACCAATGTAAAAAGTCAGGTTCAGTGCATGCCTGTAATCCCAGCTCAGGAAAGGTGAAGACAGGAGGATCCCCGGGGCTTGCTGCAAGCAAGTCTATCCCAGTTAGTGAGCAAATGGTTCAATGAGAGATCCTGTCTCAAAAGTAAGGTGGAGAGCAATTGGAGAAGAAACTCAGTGTAGACCTTTAATCTTCACATACGCACACACACACGCACCTGCATACATATGTACAGACACACACAGACACTCACATGAATCTCCATAAAAGGCAACCCTAGAGAACGAAAATATTAGTGGTTGCCTACTGAGGAAACTGCCAGTCAGTACATTACCCAGTATAAACAAAAGCAGAGATAGGAGACTGGTCACAGCTTTTTCTTAATAGCCCCAAACCTGTAATCATCCAAATGCCCGGCAACAAGTGTGTGGCTAGACAAAATGTGGTATCACACAAAATGCACTACTCCTCAGAAACAGAAAAGGGACAACTTGATAACACCTACACTAACATGTATAGATCTAAGAAATTATTATGATGAATGAAAACAACACCAGGAGACTTAGTGTATGCTTCTGCTTACATAAGAAATTCTAGAAAATAGATTCTACAATAGTGACTGATCACAGTGACTGCCTGGGGGTGAAAATAAAGGAAGAAACTGGCGGAAACAAAATAATTTTTTAAAGGGATAGAAATGTTCTCTATGCTACTGGGACATTTTGCATATATATATATACATATATATACATATATACTGTCAAAAATTTCAAAACTGTACACATTAAATAATTACAACATATTATATAAATTATACCTCAATTCGGCTAAACAGAATGAGAAATAGTCATTCATGTTTACTTGGACACTAAGACTTAAAACAGCTCCGTGTGCTTTATTTCAGCCAATATTTCAATGACCTGATTGATTAAAAAAAAAAAAAAAATCAAAGAAATCTTAAACAGCAACTTGCTCTTCAGAAATGGAAACAAGAGCTAGGAGATTATAAAGGCATAGGGCCTGACTGATCCCTATCCCACCTAGAAAACAAATGGCCCTGTACAAGGGACAACTTCTGCCAGACTGTTTCCACATCTGTAAAATATATAATTAAGGCCATTACATAACAAATTCAAAATTTTAATCTTTAGGTTTACTGACTTAAGACAGACTCTTGCAAGACAAAATTCTAGCAAGAACTGTACCTGTTTTATGTCCCACCGATCCTCACTGCCAATATTTCCCTAGAACAGAATAAGCACCAAACTGCATGTCTAAAGGCCTTTGACCAAATGAACTACAGACAAGAGGGAGTTTTGAGATGCACAGAGTCTGTTGTGTACACCGCAAGTAGAAGCACAGTGAACCCCAACCATGCAAGATTTTTCAGGCTGTGTGAAGCTTTGTATTTACCCTAACTAGCAGAAGCCTTTGACAGACTTGTAAACAGGTGGGTCATGCCAATGGGTCATAACTAGATTTAAATTTTAAAAAGAAAAATCACTCTCTAGAATGTGGAGAAGGATCATATGATGGGGAAGAAGGATGACACACAAGATATAATATAGAGCGTGAATATAGTCCAATAAGGAAGCTGTTGTGGCAGTCCACTTAAGAGACTGCGGTAGTTTCATCCAAGGTAATAGAAATGAAGAGTAGACTGAATGCTGACACATTAGGATAAATCAATAGATCCCAACTTTGGAAATGAGAGGAAAGAAAACACTGAGCTTCCATTCCTCACCTTCAAAATAAACTGTTTATACTCTACCTGTGTAATATCGATCTTGCCATCTGGAACAATAATATGAAGTAATTATTATGCATTTCATGTGGGTGTCTGATACAAAAATTGGTGTAAATAAGTAAGTCACTATTGTTGTTATTACTGTCATCCCGTGTAATGTCAGAAAGCTGACGAGGAATGTACTATCCACAGAAGCTACGTAGAGGATATTCGATGTGGTGACCTCGCAGACAAGTCACCTGGCCTTGAGACAATGTTCCGAATAAATACAGGTCACCATACAGTTTCTGTAGCTCAGCTGCTCTCTGGCTGAGAAAGCACAGGTGGTATGATCGTGCCATCTGGTAAACGGAGGCACGAGAGTGGCTACAATAGAGCCAAGGAATAGGTACAAAAGCAGGACACGGACATGACTGTCCAGCTTTTCATTTCTAACCAAGTCGAACTATATTAGATCTGCATCCAGAGCAATACAAATCTACAGCACAGACGTGCGCGCGCATACATACACCACACACACACACACACACACACACACACACTCACTCACTCACACACACCACTTTTGCAGGTCTCTTGCAAACAAGGCCCTGTCATCCCTTGGATTAACGCCGAGCATCCGCTCACCACCCCAGCGGGTCTAGGGCTTCCTTGCCTCTAGCCCCGGACTAACGCACAGTCCCAGATGGCTGGAGCCCCGCATACCTTAGCTTCGCGCTCTCGTTCCTCCGCGGTCTGGGCGCGCTTCATGCTGCTACTAAACCGCCTTCGCCACGGTGGGCCGCGTCCCTCCTCCCCCTGGACCCCGCCTCCTGTGTGTAGTTCTCTCAGCGGCCCTCTCCCGCCTGGCGCCATTCTCTCTAAAGCCCGGAAAAACTACCTCTCCCAGGATGCTCCGCGAGACTCCCGAGAACTCCTTGGGATTCGGAGCCGAATCTCTCAAGTCAGCCAGCTAGGCTAATGTAGTACAGCGGAACTCAGGGAGAACTACATTTCCCAGTGGATAACGGGACTTGCTATGTTTTCCCGTGCTCCTCTGGGGCCTGTGGAGGCTTGTGCCTTGGGCGCTATAGCAACGGTAGCTAGCTGAGGGCGAGCGCAGAGGTGAGTACCCTGTGAGGTGGGGGCAGAAGTAGGTTATCGGGCCCTTCCTCTGCCTCACAGCTGAGGGCCTGGAGTCCGCTCCGAAGCCCGGGAAAGGCCTGGGATTCTTGCGTGGTAAACAGTCCATTCCGACACACCTCCACATACTCAGGCCTACATCGTAGTTCGCCCTGACCGCCTGCCCAGCCAGAAACCTAGCTGATAAGAATTGGCAACCCTGTTTAAATCCAACGACTCGAAGGTCACAGTCACAGTTCACTCTTATTTCCTAGGATTTGGGATCGAATGGTAGAACCTGAGCCTCCCCCCCCCACCCCACCCCCCGGGCTTGTTACTGTTGTTGCTGCTGCAGCTGACGGTGGTTGTTAGTTTTTTTTTTTTAAAAAAACAGGGTCATCCTATGTCCCCCAGGCAGAACTTGAAGTAGCTTTTTAGTCCATGCAGTTCTCAGATTTACTTAACAGGTCTTGCCTCAAGTTCCACAGTCAGTGCCTAGCGGCCTATCTTTCTTTATTACTGTTGTTCATGTGACTACTCCCATGGTCTGTTAAAGCTATTATAGGCAAAGACTTTGTTCAAACTCAGTGCCTGGAATTCATTTATTCTTTCAATAAATGGTAGCATTGACAGCACATATCAGAAGGGAACTATTTTAGCAAGGAAGGGGACCAGTGAGAAGAAGCTAGAGAGATGGGGGTGGGGGGTGTTTGAGAGTAAGGGACAGATATGAGCAAGAAACAAAGATGTGAAAATATAAACTAAAAATAATTTCTAAGACAATGTATTACTAAACAACTCTGGGATAATGACAGAGGTTATTGCTGTAAGAAATAAGCCATAGCTGGGTTTGATGGCACACTCAGGACAAATCCATGGTTTACACAGGGCATGGTGGCACTCCACTTTAACCCTAAGACTCAGGAAGTAGAGGCAGGTAGATCTGAATTTCAGGCCATCCAAGTTTACGTAGATCCTTTCTTTAAAAAAAAAAAAAAAACAGGGAATTTGAGGCCAGTGTGCTTAGTGCTCTTGGTGAATTTGAGGTCAGTCTAGAATGCATAGGTTTCCCTTGAAAAAGAAAAGTTAGAAACTGGGAAGAAAACTAACACGGAATAGTAAGAGAAACTTTGTCTAAGGAAGTGACCATTGGCTGTAGCTCTGAAGTGTGAAGAGAGAGCTAATGCAAGAGCCCTCGGGGGAAGATAAGTGTGCTGGACATGAGGAAAGTGGAAGACAGTGTAAGTGGAGTAGAGAGAGCAAGGAGGAGGAAATCACAGTAGGATTGTGAGGCCATGCAACATGCATGCGCAGGGCCAAAAAATTCATCATTATACATAGATCCTGTACTTCATTGTTGGCATCACCCGCTACATGCCAGTACTATCTGCTTCTCAGGTGTGATAACCAAAAATATCATCGAACAACTCCTTCCTGGATAGATGACCTTGAGCAGTTGAGCTAGTTTGTCTTAGCTTTTGTTTGTACGTCAGGAGCCATTTGAGTAGCCACTGTGCGTACACACTGTAAGCATGGTGTGTTAGTGTCGTCTTCTGCAGTCATCCTCTGAGAAAGTTTCCCTGACCGTGCTTCTTAGTCGACTGGGAGTCCTGATCAAAGTTCTGGAGCCTCTCTCCAAGAAATCCTCTCCACACACATCTCTGTAGGGCCTTCAGTGCCAAGTCTTGATTTCAGACACCAAAATCCAGGAGCTGCCTTTCCCCATTCAAGTGTCTGTTTAGGAAATACTGCTGAGTGTGTCACACTCCATGCCAGCTTCTGGGACAGGTGAATTAGATGAGTAAGCTTTCTACTTTCTTGGTCTTCACATTCTACAACCAGCATTCTAGAACTTGAAAGGGTCTTGCTTACAAGGATATTTCACTAACAGTTTACATCTAACTTTCTAGGAAGGTCAAAATGAAAATAGAGAATGTACTTATCTATTTGCTTACTATATACTGTATATTCATATCCACATATAATACCAAGTTACTATGTTGTGTCTCTAAAAGTTCTAGAGTAAGCAAGAGAAGACAGTATGTTGAGGTAGCTAATCCTGGAATCTCCATGAAGTAACAAAAGGGGGAGGGGTGTGACAGAAGTGAATATATGCAGCCTCCTACGCAGAGCTTGAGAGGAACCATTCCTTTGCACAGTGTGCAGACAGCTGGCACTTTTAAACTCTTGACACCCCCAACACATTTGCTGAATGCCTTTAGTTTGTAATCTCTCTTGCTTTCAGAATAACAATGAGATGGGTATACTTTGTTCTATTTTTAAACTTAAGTAAATGTAAGGACTTGACCAACTATCAGATGGTAAAACAAACTATTTGACTCAATCGAGTACATGACCTGAGTTGTGGTTTGGGGTTTTTTTTCCCCAGAATTCATGCTTTCTTTAAGGAAAGGTGTGGGACTAGAAGTATTTCTTAAATTTGGAAAGGTTTGTTTTTGTTTCAGATAGATAAATAAGAAAAGGAAGCATTTAGGAAATTACCTCATTTCCTCAGAAAACTGTAGGAAATAACACTGCAGAATGAAGACAGTCTTCATGATTAGATGCAGTGTTCCTTCTAAAATAGGAGCTTTCATCTTGCTCAAGCAGCACATGTGGGCAATAACATGTCCATTAAAGTTCTAGTTTCCTATCCTCTTTATTTGGCTCATTCCAGTGCATAGTTAATGCAATAACTTAGACAGAGTTTTTTGAATTCTCTTTTCTCCACAGATAGACCATGTCTGGCCCAAGTGATGAGACGGCAGGAGACCTGCCAGTGAAAGATATAGGTCTAAACCTCTTTGGAGTTGGAGGGTTACAAGGTATGGCCACCTGTTATTTATTACAGTTATGAACTTTGATCAGTAATTTCTTTACTTTTAATTTAAAGTATTTCTGATAGTCATACAAACCCAGGCATTTAAGTAACTATATAGTTCTTGATTGGACTAAACAAGATGGAGAGTTTAAAACACATATGGTATTTTACTGCATGCATCAATTATCAACAGCTCATAGCAATGCAAGATCCCCCTCTGTTCTGATAAAGAGTTGTTATAAATCATCTTTTTAAAATTCCACACATCAGTAGAAACTGCATAGAGTATCAGGCCTCCAAACCGAATTGCCTGGTTTAAATCACATTCACCATTAAAACACTTCTTCATGTTTAAATTTTATATGGGAGGAAATACCATATTTTAAAATTTTTGCCTTTCAAGTAGAGTATCTCAAAATGGCCTGTTTATGCAAGTGATAGTGAGTTTTCAATCACGTTAATACACATTAAAGGCTTTCTTTATCCTTTTATCATTTCGTTGTTCCCGTACAGCTGAGGAGTACTTTCAACTGAGAAAGTAAAGTACTGCTGTAAAGAACAACATAGACAGCAGAGCCAGGTTCCTGTTTGTGACAATGCTGGTCAAGCTTCTAAGCCACTAAACCTTACTTGGAGGAGGCTGGAGGCTCAAAATGTGTCCTAAGGACTCTCTGTACACCTTTTGATCATAACAGTGTCAATGGCCAGACTTAGCTACCTTAGAAAGGTATTAAGTGTATTGTTCATTTAGAACATATTGACCATATGTGTTATTGAAAGGAAGGATGTTTTGGCTTTGATTTAGATCATGGAACCAGTATCAGATACTAAAATTAAAACTATTGGGTTTTGGCATTGTGTAAATCCAATTCTTATCATCAGTAGCCACCCTCGGTCTTTAAGTCTGATTAAAATTTAAATATGTTTATATACTTAAAAGTTAAAGAGGTATATTGGGTTTTGTTTTGTTTTGTTTTGTTTTGTTTTGTTTTGTTTTGTTTTGTTTTGTTTTGTTTTGAGGCAGTGTCTTACTATGTATCTTTGACTAGCCTGGAACCCACTGTGTAGACCAGGCTGGCCTTGGAACTCACAGATCTCTGCCTGCCTTTGTCTGGGATTAAAAGTATATGCTACTATATCAGATCAAAAAATTAATTTTCAATGTAGTAAATAGCTTAAAGAGAAATGATCTGTAAAACTTTGAAATCACAGGTTTGGGTGTTTTGTTTTTGTTTTTGTTTTTGTTTTTTTAGGGGATTTATTTATTTTTCTATATCTTAGCTTCCTAGCTCAAATAAAAATTCCTGTTATGTTCACTGAATTGTTCCGGTTTTTTTCCTCTGTAAAAAAATACACTTCAATATATATTTGTAGATACAAAGCCTTCTTTTTGCTGCCATGTTAGTGGATGAACCTTGCACATGCTAGGCAAGTGCTATATACTGTATGAGCTGTGTTCTCAGACTAGGCAGCCTGTCTTTCTAACTATGAGGCTTTCCATCTCGCAGAATATGAATTCTAATTCCTATTAGACTTCTGACTCCATTCCCTGCTATAGTCTGAAAAAGTGATTAAGCCCATGCTAGTGAATAAAGCTGTTCAGATCTCTAATACTATACATAAAGCATCTAACAAAGATGCTTAGTCTCACCCGAGATCATTGACATGAACAATGCTCTAACATTTCCTAAAGAAAAACGATTTAATTTGTAGGTAAAAAGGAGAGAAATTTGAGTATGATGCTGCCTGACTGCAATCCCAACACTTGAAAAGTAGAGGCAGGAGGACTAGAATATCAGATTGTCCCGGCCACATAGCAAGCTGGAAGTTAACCTCTACTATGTGAAACCCTGTTTCA